TTCCACCACGAGTGGTACTGGAAAATGAGGAGTAAGGGGCTCAGATCAGTTCCAAAAAGTCCCTCTCTGCTGCTACTTCCTCCTTCAAGCATGTGTCCTCCACAGCCCACAGCTCCTGCCAGGAGAACCTACTCTGGGCTCTGGCATGGGCTCTCCACAGGCCACAGTCCCTTTAGGAGCTATTTCTGTCTGGGGTTCTCCATGGCTTGCAGTGTGAGTATCTGCTCCAGTGTGGTCCTCTTCTACAGACTGCAGAAAATTGCCTGTTCTGGTGCTTGGAGAACCTCCTCCCGATCCTTATTCTTTGACCTTGGTGTTTGCAGGATTGTTTTTCACACTCATCCTCTCCATACACACCCCATTGTGTTTTGCCCTTTCTTACACATGGTTTCAGAGAGGCACCACCAGGTCCTCTAAGGGTTCAGCTGTGCCCTGCAGTGCAACCAGCCATGTCCACACAGTCCTTGGCCCCTTCTCACAGAGGCTGCCTCTGCAGTCCCAGGCCTCACTATCAAAACCTTGCCAGCAAACCCAATACAAGAACATTTCCTGTAATTCAAAACAGTTACTGAACAAGAATTACTTTGCGTAATTGTACCATAAACTGTAATCTAAAGCCCCAAACAATTATGTATCTAACTAAATCCAAAATTAAAAATCCAAAATTCAAAAGCAATGGTATAATTTAAAACCTTAAAAATTAAATCCAGAAGAGTCCCTAAAAACAAGCAGTTGTGTATCACATGCATTTTTTAAAACTGAGTTGAATGCAATGCTGCAAACAAATCCTCTGTTTTCAGCACAGCAGCTCCCTGGAATTTGTAACAGTATATGTATCTATCTACATGTGAATACATATACCTTATAGGACAGAAAGAAAACATCCTCAAAAGCTTTTATGAAAAACATATAGTAGAAAGTAACCATTAAGAAATTCTGATCCAAAAATCTATCAATTTTTTTTAAGAAGTATCTTCTTTCCTATAACATCAAACTAGTTGGTAACACTATACAAGTAAAACTACAAGGATTTGGTGTATTTTCTCTCAAGACCCTTTTCACTGTGGAGGAGCCACTTAGTTCAGCAACCTGTTTTTTTCTAAACAAGTTATTTTTTAGCTGAAGCTTTTAAGTTTGAGAAAGTTACAGATCAGCTTTACAGTAAATTTCCACAATGCTAAGTAACTTAAAGATCTAAGGAGACATCAAACCCCACTGAATTAGAATCCAAATTTATATCCTAGCCTGCTATCTTTAACTGAAATAATTAAAAAACAAGCTAACAAACCACCAATACTATTCATCTTCAATAACGTGTTTTTCAAACCATAACATAACCTTGGATCTTACCTTTTTGCTCACATCAACTTTTACTAGTAAAACTTCTGCATACAGAAAAAATGCTAAGGATTTTGGAAATGATCCTTACCGAATTATAATAGAATCCAGTGCTGTGGTCATAATACAATCCTGTATTTTCATCGTAAACAAATCCAGTTTGTGAAACAGCCGCCTCTGCAGCAGCTCTCAAGCTCTCTGCCAAAGAACCCTCTGGTACTGAAGTATCTTCTGCCTCCTGATACCAGAAAGTAAGAAATTAAATTTTCTTCTAGAAGGAAAGTGCTCTATGAACTTGGACTCTTTCAGAAGGCAAAAATTTGGCTGCGGTTTATTGCTAAGCTCCTACTGATTCCAACAGGGCCAAGACTTGTTCCAGTGTCTTTTGTGTTCCCCCATCTTTATTCAGGGTGGTTCACATCAAAAATACACACAGTGAGTATCTTTCAGTGCATTCCTAAACAAATTTCTGCTCTCTGTCCCACTTTCTGTTGCTAGATGCTAAGGCACAAACTCAGTTGAGTGACCTAAGAGAAGGCTGGATAGCAGGGAAGAAAACCAACCCACAACAAAATAAATAAATAAACCCCACCAACAACTTTCTTCTCCTTAAATGTTGCCTCCTTATGCCAATGGAAGAAAAAAAAAAAAAGTACTATTTAAGAAAGTCAGCAGGCCATATTGAACATACTCTGCTGATAAAAAGGGTTCTGCTTCCAGGTTATATAGGATATATGTACCCTTTTTAAAAAATAGACCAAATACCAAACCCCATCTCTAGGAGTATGCTACACTTGGAATATACTACAAAAAGGAACTAGTTTTGAAGTACAAGTATGTTAGCATGCTAACATCCGCACCAGATTATCACGAAAAATTGTTTCATATAAAGACATCAGGATCAAGAGTGTATCTTTTAGATGAAATATTAACAGAATAGTGACTTCAAAACCGGTAAAACCCCAGACAGCTCAAAAACCTGTAAATTCTGGATGAAATTTGCCTCTTCTCCATCTTCAGCAACTTTGGTGCTATCCACTGTTAGAGGAATATTAACACCTGTATCCGATTCCTCTGTGGAATTATGCTCAGTGCCTTCAGTCCCATGATTGTGCTGCACTGGTATTTCAGATGCACAATCTTGAGTATTGGTGTGATTGTAATAATTTTCATAGTAGTAATAATCTGGGGAGGGAGGGAGAAATAAAAGCTGAAGTTGCATAAACTAGCAAAGCAATATTTTACTAATGCAGCTTGAGGATGCTAAATCTTAAACTGGAAATTTATGCAAGTAAGTAGTCTAATGAAGATTAAATATTAGGTAGTGCTTCTGCTTTGAATTTATTCTAGTCCTAGTACACAAATTATGTCTTATTTTAATATACTCTAAAAATTGGCAAAACACCTATGTTTGTAACATATAAGAAAGACTACTACGTAACAAATTATTATTATGGCATGAATTCTGCTAGTCCATGCTACATTTTATCCTGAACTAACAGCCTGATAAAACAGGAACTGGTCTGAAAAATAATGCCAGGTTATTGAGTGTAATTCAGCAGAAGATACAGACTTAAAATGTATTAAGATGCTGTTCTAGACCCCTCTTTAAATAGTCACCAGCCTCCCTACCTGCTTGTGACCACGCAGCATAGTCCTCTGTCTGTACTTCTACACTAGACGTATCTTTCTCCTTCCTATTATGGATTTCCTCAGTGAGTTCTTCTACCTGAAAGAAAAATAGCATGTTACAGAATCCAATACTTCATTTTAGTGCACCAGAAAAGAGTGCCAGTCTATTTTGCATTCCATCATTCAAACAAAACATAACGGTATCACAGGCATTTCAACTGATTTTGTTTGGCAGGGAACAATTTTGTACTTGGATGGTTGGCATAATGGAAAACTTAGTTTCTGCTCACAGAGGAAGCAGGGAAACTTAACCAAAGTTACTCCTATGATGCCCACCCTGTAGAGTCAGATTTCAAGCAATAGCCACTGTTCTGTGTTGATGCACTGTGGAATTTACAAACCCCAGACTTGCAGAATATTCTGGCCTGGAAGGGATCCACAAGGATCACTGAGTCCCACTCCTGATCCTGTACAGAACCATCCCCAAGAGTCACACCATGTACCTGAGAGTATTGTCCAAATGCTTCTGGAACTCTGTCAGGCTTGGTGCTGTGACCACTTCCCTGGGGAGCCTGTTCCAGTGCCCAACCACCCTCTGGGTGAAAAACCTTTTCCTGATATCCAACCTAAACCTCCCCTGACACAACTTCAGGCCATTCCCTCGGGTCCTGTCACTGGTCACCACAGAGAAGAGATCAGTGCCTGCCTGTCCTCTTCAGAGGGAAGCTGTAGACTGCGATGTGAGTCTCTCCCAAACTTGCCTATTTTGCCATAAGAATCCTTCGTGGTTGTGGTCGCCCGCAAGCCGGGAGAACCCGGCGGGCTCGGGGCAGCGCGGGAAGGGCGGAGGGGGCAGGCGGAACGGGGGCCGAGGGGTGGCAGGGGCCGGCAGGGCCGGGGCCGCGGTTCGGGGCGTGGGGGCCCTACCTGTCTCCGCAGGGCCTCGCCGCACTCCCGCGCCCGGCGGTACAGGCGCTGGGTGCGGCGCAGCCGCCGCCGCGCCCGCTCCAGCTGTGCCCGGCACTCGCCCAGCTTCCGCCAGCAGCGCCGCCGCCCGCTCGCCTGAGTCCGCCTGCCGCTCGCCGCCCGCCGGGGAGGCCATGACCGATCGCCCGCCCGCCGCTCGGCGTCCGCCGCTCAGGGCCGGCCCGCCGCCCGTGCCGGGGCGCTGTGGCGGTGGCAGCGGCAGCGGCAGTGGCGGTGTAGGTGGTGGTGCCGGCCCGTCCCGCCGGCCCCGGCCATGGCCCTTCCGGGCGGGGCGGAAGCGGCGGGGGTCGCGCGCCGCACGCGCACGGAGCGCAGTCCCGCCGGGCGCGCGACGGACCGGCCTGCGAGACCCGGAAGGGGCCCGGGACGGCCGGAAGCGGCGCGCGCGCGGCGGAAGTGCGTGTGCGTGCGGCATAGGCGGGTGGGCCCGGGCCGGGGTCGGCCGTGACGGGAGGGGAGCTGGGAGGAGCTGGGAGGGGAGCTGGGAGGGAGCTGACAGGAGCTGGGAGGAGCTGAGGAGCTGGGAGGAGCTGGGAGGGAGCTGAGGGGAGCTGAGGGGAGCTGGGAGGGAGCTGACAGGGAGCTGGGAGGGAGCTGGGAGGGAGCTGGAGGGAGCTGAGGAGCTGAGGAGCTGAGGGAGCTGGGAGGAGCTGAGAGGAGCTGGGAGGAGCTGAGGAGCTGAGGAGCTGACAGGGAGCTGACAGGGGAGCTGGGAGGGGAGCTGACAGGGAGCTGGGAGGAGCTGGAGGAGCTGACAGGAGCTGGGAGGAGCTGGAGGAGCTGGGAGGGAGCTGACAGGGGAGCTGGGAGGAGCTGGGAGGGGAGCTGGGAGGAGGAGCGGGGAGGGAGCTGGGGGAGCTGGGGGAGCTGGGAGGGAGCTGACAGGAGCTGACAGGGAGCTGACAGGGAGCTGGGAGGGAGCTGGGGGAGCTGGGAGGGAGCGGGGAGGAGCTGGGGGAGCGGGGGGAGCGGGGAGGGAGCGGGGAGGAGCTGGGAGGAGCTGAGGGAGCTGGGAGGGGAGCTGACAGGGGAGCTGACAGGGGAGCAGCAGCCCCCAGAGAGAGGCGGGCTGTGAGCTCGGGGCCCGAAGAGCTCCAGTCTCACCTGTAGCGTATAACAGAGTGAAAAGTAACGGTAGCATCTATTTTTATGCAAAACTCACGTTTTTGTTTGTTTTTTTTGATGCTTATTTTTGGGGAGGCGGAGGAGGACGGGCAAGAAGCTTTTTGGGAATTGTCAGTCTGACCTGTGTCAAAGTACATCATGTCCTAGCTGGAAATGGCCGTGGGCATTGCAGTTGGAACCATTTAGGCAGCATTCGAGGCTCCTGTCGGTGCTGAGAACTGTAGCGCTGTATCCCTGTGTAAATATCTGTTGCTGAGATTTCTAGAGGCAGCTGCAGAAGTTTTTTGGGTTTTCCCCCATGGCCCCATCTCACTATCATAATTTTCAACCCCTCGTCTTCTCTTTCTGAAGTGTGTCTCTTTGGTCTCTGATGCCCACAGTGCTTTTCAGTTGCTAATAAACTGTGTGATGTGCTTTGTCACTTTTGTGCCTGGCTCCAGAAACAAGAAGTACATCAGAGAAGGTTGTAGTTTTTAGATAATAGTTTTTAGATCTGACAATAGTGAATATATTGCACACATGGGCATCTTTGTCTGCTAGCAGGTATGTCCTAGTGGTGCACCACCTTTAGAGAAGGTGCTCACCTGATTGCTTGAAGTGATGTAATCATTTCATATACATGTACGTATTTTGAACATATTTCACATATATATATATATATAAAATACAGCTTTTTAATTATTATTTTAACTTTTCTGTGATTGCTGTTGCTTGCTATGCTGAAAGAGTCTCCGAAGGCATGAGGCTTTAAAATGTGCAGTATGTCATGGTGCAGACAAAGTTGTACCTGTACTTCAGTGGCCTGGGTTTTGGCTGCCATATACAAGGGGTTGGCTCATTGCCTGTCAGACTTTAGTCTCAGTCTCAGATTAGTGACTGTTTTTGTCACTGCAATCTGTTTAGGTTCTTCAGAATGTTTTAAGTAACAGCCTCATGCTGTTATTTACTAAAGCGTGGTAGCAACATGGGAGCACCAATAGGTTTTGGGTTAGACCTCAGTCAGCACAAGTTTGAACCTTGTGTTGCTGTTAAACAGAACTGATAATACACCACTTTCAGTCTGGGAATTAAAATCTGGGGTAGTGCTATCTTTATTTTCCTTTTAGCCACTGAAATAATGACCCACTTCCAGTAACTAGTAAATCCAAAGACAAGCAAATTTGAAAGTCACAGTAAGTTGCAGTGTTAATTTAGCAGGAATGCTGTTGTTCACTGCAAAGACAATCAGGTCATACACTCATGTGCCACTCATTAATTACAGTTCTGACTGGAAACTGCTAGAATCAAATGCCTGAACTCTGGAGGGGGGCCTACATGAGCAGGCAAGAGGCAAATCTTTATCTATTGCTGTCTTACTGAAAGGAAATAGTAAAAAAATACAAGCCGTTTGTCTTCTTTAAGCATTTTGTGAAAGAGAGTAAAGCTGTGGACTGGGGGTCCTAAGAGATATTACAACAAATAATACAGTCTCATCAGTTGGGACAGTGTAGCATCTGTATCAAAAAGTGTTTAATTTTGGGTCGTGCTTCTGTTTGTATAAAGATGGTTTTACTTAATATGTATAAGTAACCAAGGACCTAAGTTGGAGGAAGATACTTCTTGAAAGAGTGAAGATTTCATCCACTGCCTTGTATTAAGTTGTATTAAGTTCAGGGTATCACACTCTTTTTAAAAGAGTGGCCTAATGTCAGGCCTTTGACCTCAAGTTTAATATTCAATTGTAAAAGTAATGGATTTTAGAGCTTAAGCAGGGAAAAGAGAGTGAAAAAGGATGCCAGCACTTCAAACACTGCATGTTCCTAAAGGTTGGCAGCAGATGAAAATGGAGAGGATGGAGGTGATGGGTATCCCTGCCACCAATCTGATGGTGCCCCTGAATATGCCCCTTTCCTGCCCGTGTTCTTGGTGGGCCCTCGACATTGACTGATGAGCTGCTGTTGCACTACCCTGTACGTGTTTCTCCTTGATCCTCTGGGGTCGGGTAGTTACACTTGCAAGTATAGGTGGCATTGCAATCCAGCTAGACAAAACCATAAACCTAGGTCCTGCACCTTCTGTACTAAAAGGAGGGGAGGACTTTGATTGCAGGAGCATTTGCTGCCAAAGGACAGAGGATCATGGAAGGAAAATGAAATGGCTTGTAGGAAGTGTGGACCACAAGGCTGCTGAAACACAGACTGTCTGGCTCTCCCTGCCTCATTCCTCTACCCCAGAGATGATGTGGCTTTTTCCAGGTTCCTCCTTCTCCTGAGAGACAGTGCAAAGAGATGGAGGGGTCCTTGAAGCCATCTTTGCCATCACAGTCTTCATGGCCTTGTGAAAATTGCTTTGTCCCACCTCTGAGTTGTTAAAGACTTCTGCAAGTGTGATTACATGTGTGTAAAAGTGAGCTTAAACATAGTGATTTCAGATTCCTTGTGATTTGTAAGCTTGATGGTCATAATCCTGTATGCTTTATATAGAATCAGTCAAGTACATCTGAGTGCTTTGCTTGCTACAATCCTGCTGCAGCAACTTGGAACCAGTTTTAAGGTACCATTATTAAGATGGCTTTACAGTTTTGGCATGTGAGAGTCCTTTTGTTCCTGCACCACGGCACGGGTAGCCATCTCTCTTCCCAGCATCCCAAGGCTTCTGGGATCACTCAGAGACCAACTGCATGTAATAGACTTGCCTACTGTCCTACTGCAAGGATAGGTTCAGCAATTTGCAGCTAGGGATCTTGCTCCCATGTTGAGGTATTTGAAAGTGAGACATCATAGCACACAGCACTGCAGAGTTTGAGCCCTGTGAACGTATTTCCAATATTCTAAAGCTTCTGGCCTTGAGATACTCAAGCGTAAGAATGTGAACTCAGAAAATCCAAGTAGGTCTAACTATGACTTTACACAGTGTCCATTTTCCACTTGTGTTTCTCTATAAAGCAAAAGTGTTAAAAGAAACTAGCTTTTACCACTAGATGGCATTTAAGGATTGTGGGTATGGTTGTTTGTGGTTTTTTTTTTCAAATATCTTGAAACACAGTACTGAAAATTGCCTAAGTTGGCAAAATGGATGGCTAACCTAATTTTCTTTCTCTCTCCTGCTGTTGTAGACAGACACTGAAAATGGCTTGTGGCTGTTTCTTGGGATGATCTGATCTAAGGGCTGCCAGCACAGTAAAAGAGCAAGGCTTGCCTGTTGCATCTATAGTAATTGGTACCCCAGAGGGAGTCACCTGCTTCTAAGAGATAGGCAGCTTCTTTCTACCCTTCTTCTTATGAATCACAGCTGCTGAGAGATACTGTGTCCTTGGTGATGCAGAGTGAACAGATGCCTTAACACAGAGACCCAAGTTGCTCCAAAGTTGGAATGTTCTTCTCTTAACTTGTTATTGATGCAGTAGAATAAACATGGCTGTCCCTTTCTAGCTGTACAAGAGATAGCATTGCCTGCTTTTTATCATTACCCCCTGAGCAGCTCGTCTCCAACAGCACGTGCTCCTACAGACTTGTTGCTGTGGGTTACCATCCACCTACCTGCCAGCAGGGACTGGTCATGGAGACAGCATCAACCTAAACTCTTCAGTTCTGGTACTAACTTTGTTTCCATATTTTGTAAAGCCTATTCAGCTCCTTTTTTTTTTTTTGGGTGGCATAAAGCTGCCAAACATCTGGCATCTTTGTTTAGTGATTGCAAATAAACTCTTGACAACTTTGCTTAGTTGCAAAGGCAAGAACAGATTAATGCAAGTAAGAGTCAAAGTAGTAAATAAAGGGTGTTCTCTGAAGACAGCAGTGCTCAGTATCTGGGGTTCAGGCTAAAGATCCCAAAAAGAACAACATCTGATGCTAATAATGCCAAAATATTTGCAGCTAACCCTCTCTGCAAGGCTACATTCTACTCCCACAAGGATCCCACTGATGTAACACTGAGGGTGGATTTGTTAGCTTGTGTCATGCATGCCCCAATGTCAGTGCAGGAGCAGGAGAGGTAGTTCTTTCCTTTCTTGGGGTAAGCTGTTATGGTATCCACTGCCTCATATACTTGCACCCAAGTAGCGTGCCTTCCCACTCTGCTCTTTACAGGTACCTGTGTGCAATGCCACTTCATCCTCTCCATCTACACTTTTGCACCAATCCTGCTGACATTCCTCCTGCTCCTCATCCTGGCCTCTGGCAAACTTTAAGCTCACAACAGCCAGGCAATGACACAGATGTGTGTGGTTTGCCTGCACACTGTGTACAGAGCCTTTCCCTGTCTGTAACATGCCCCAGAAATCAAAGATGACTGGCTGCTACAGGAAGTCAAAGTCACTCAGGCCCCAGAGAAGCAGATGGCTCAAAAGTAAGAAAATTGCCAGTGGCTTAGTTATGTGATAGCAGGGGAGGAAAGTGTGACCACTTTTCCGTGATCAGTCACAGAGCAAAACCATGTGGCTTTTACACCTATTTGATCTGCAATACTTAAATATTAGTAATTACAAGTAATAAATATTATTTATAATATTACTTGTTATAAATAGTTGTGCAAGTTGTAATCTTCCCACTTCCTCTCATCATGGTCATGCTACAGGTTGCATAATTTTTAAGTTCTGGTTTTAATAAAGAATCAAATGGAACACAGAAATATTGGATTATGCGCAGGTGTGAATTTGCAACATGTAAACAAACTGCTGGCAGTTACAAGGCTCTCTTTAAAAGAATTTTTCTTGCAAATGCAGTTCTTTTCTAGCTGGGTCACTGTGAGGGGAGGAAAAAAAAAGAAAAAGCAAAAGTGTGGCTTTGTGAGGGAAAATGGGAAGCAAAGAAAGCAACCTCATCACCAGCTTAATTAAACTGGCAACTTTGTTCACCTGACTCATGTTTCATGAGAAATTCTATAGGTGTATTACCTGCTAAAAAATAGCTGGAGTAGTGATCACAAAACTGCTGTAGTCATGGACAGACGCATGTAACTTTTCATATTGCAATGCATTACCCTGAGACTCTAATTAAGAGCAAATCAGGTGTGACCTGTTTTAATAGGTATGCCATATGAATTACCCAACATTCCACTGGAAACCTGATGAGTTAAAATGCTCTCAGTAGCTTTATTATCTGAATCAGAGCCAAATGGAATTTAATCTAGTTGAACCAAAATTTTTTTCAAGTTCTAATATCAATTATTAGATAATCAAATGAGAACCAAATGCAATTCAATGTCCAGGCTATCAGTGGTTTTGATATGAAGCCGAATTTTTAATTTTTACATTTCTTTGTAAATGCTGAGACATAGGCAATAAATCTGATTTTTATGTAGTATATACTTTTTTTTTTCTGAAAAAAATACTGCCTTTTCTATCCTGTAAGAAAATAACATTTAAAATTGTGGTGGTTTAGCTCTTTTTTCATTCTCAGCAACCTCTTGAGTCTGATTCATTCCTCACATCCAGAAGAGCCTCCATCTCTTTGGAGTGGAACAAAAGTTGTGTCAGATAAGCAATATTCAACATGATATCCTGTTCCCAATTATGCCCCTACGATTTTCCTGTGGTTTCTGCTTCTGGGGGCTGGTGTGTCCTGGAAGAGAACATTCAGGCTGTAGTATTTTCAGTTTTCTGTCTGAAACATGTCTTTCAGTATAAACTTTAAAAGGGTATTTGTGGATATAGTATAGGAGTTTGTATCTGCATTTAACTTGTATTTTCATGTTACACACACGCATTTGAATTGAAGAGAGTTTAGAACTTTTATTATGCAAAATGCAATTTTTTGGAGTCACTGTATTTAAAGGGACATACTTTATTTCCCCCGCCTAATCATCATTAGAAATACCTGTATCTTCTTTCTAATGTATTCCATCAAGTTCTAAAACAGATCAGGAAGAATATTTATTGTAAGGAGGTCACACAACATGAGTAGGAAGGCTGTGCTCTTGAGGGGACATGCTGTACTTTGGGTCAATACCTAAAGTTCAGCTCAATTCCAGAAATGCTGCTGAAGAGATGGAGAAGGGAGGGGTAGCAGGTATTTCAGAGGGTTCATTCTGCACTGTACTGAAATTTGTGGTGTCTTCCTTTTCTCACCATTCTGCTTAGTTGGCTTCCCAAATATCAATAAATCACAAAAATCAGTGTTTCTTTAATATGAGCAGAGCCCTGAGAAAGTTCTTTTTTTGCTGTGTGTTAGAAAAGTGCAGCAAGTAAGCAGGAATGCACTTGTGTTTCGAAAGCAGGAAGGTTAGTAGTGAAAATTCCACCAAGACCACGGTCTCAAAGCAGTTCTCAACTCAAATGTTTTTTCTTCATCAGAAGCTATTACAGTAGTTTCTTTCTACATGGAGATCCTTCTTGCAAACCAGCTGCTTTAAAACCTTTGGATTAACCAGGCCCTTCTCTTTAGCTGGCCACTCAGGGTGAGTGTGAAAAAGAACACGTAGGAGAAATGTTCCTCAGGTGGTAATGGCCACTTTGGTCTCTGTTCCAACAAGATACACTAAATTCCTTTCTTAGAATTATTTTGATATTGAATAGCCTATACTTCTTATTTACTACTGTATTATTCTCTTAAATCTCTGTTGCTATTTAGATGTGCATATACACACACAAGTCACCACAAAATTTCTGTTTAGATCCCTATCAGCTGCAGAGCATTACAGCTGCCACTTGTTATTAACCGCGCCAAACCTCATTATTTGAACTTTGTGTTCCAACTCCAGAGTGCTGGTTTGCACACAAAGTTTTTTAAAGAGCATGAGACTGGCTAAAAGTGAAACCAACAGAAACCAAACTTCTCACTGTTACTGCAGTTTTTGATACCTGATCCAGTTACTGAATTAGTGATGACAAAACAACTTTGAAGTAGTAGCAAAACAGAATGAAGGCCTAAATTATATCCGATGCTGTCTCTCTCTCTGTTACCTGCTGCTGGTGTTGCCTGTGCCGAGTCATTCAGCAGACCTTTTTTTCACTGCAGATGGAGCACAAACATTTCTGAAAGTTTCTGGTTGTGCCCATAATGATGTTCAGAACCCAGCTAGTCATGTCAGGAATGCTGTAGTATGAAAGTATAATGCTACTTACTCTCATGCCTCTGTTCAGATGACTTCTTGGTATTAATTAGGCCCAGCATCATAATTCTGGGACAAACATCTAGGTTTTTCCTGTGCATAATGAGAGGGTTAAGGACAGAATTTTTTTACTACATTACCAGTGTAAACTAATCACCTCTACCTGAGGAACATACTAATAGCTTTCCAGATAAGAGGAAAAAAATCTGCCCTGTGCTGGCTAGATTTTTCAAGATATTTTATTAGCAAATAATTTAACTTTTACCAGCGTAGCCAGGAGGGACAGAGATATAAAAATACTGCTTAAACCTGGGTAAATTTGAATGTGAAATTGGGCAAGAATTGGGAACTTAACAACTATAGTGTACCGAGAAATTAATATATTCTCAAGCCATTAAAATTCCCGGAGGGCCTGGATGACTACCACTGACTAAAGTCTGCAACTTTGATATAGGTATCCTTGTTTAATGGCTCTTCGTAGAAAACTGGAAAATTTTGCAACACAAAAATTCATCCTTATTATCAAGCATTTCAGACCACTTTGTGCCATGAGGTAGTGAAATTTCCCCTCACCACTTTGATACTTTCTTTCTCTTCAGTCTTTCTGATACCCAACAGGGTTATGTGAAGGAGAAGGGAGGTGGACTACCAGACCTGACTGTGGGTGGTTACAACTAATGGAAAAGATCTCTGAAATGCTCAGGGCTGACAGCTGAGACCAGGGGCTAGCTCTTTCAAAAGTCATTATCAGGAATTAGCAATCCAGGCCCTCAAACCAGGATTTGGTGAATAAAAACTGAACATGGTCAGTCCCTCTTGCAGCAGGAATGGAGAACTGACAGAGGATGCGAAGGCCACAGCTGTGGCCTCACCTGGCCACACTCTGCATGGACCCAGCCCTTAGTCTCTGTGCAGTTCTGTGACTGCCTCTTGCATACGTAGAAATTAAATGGGGAAATGAAAAGCAGGTCCTCGGTGGTTCTATGACACTCGTGCACCTCTCCCATGACCAGAGGCAAGAGGTACCAGGTCCTTTGCCATCTGCCCACCACCCCAGGAGGAGGGTGGCCAGTAGGGTTCTTGCCTTCTGCACAGGAGCAGTGGGGCCACAGGTATTGTCAGTGTGATGTGCGGGGCTGCTGTCCTGGGGAATTGTGCACAGGACTGTCCACCAGATGTGCTTGAATTAATTACTGTTGATGCAGCTGTCCTGTATCACCCTTCAGCTCCTCACAGCTTCTCCTCAGCTTCTGAAGTTATACAAGCAAGCCGACCTCTTCCTTCCCTTGCATAACCGTATGCAAATACTGAAGATAAATGAAGAGACTCTTCAAGACCCTTGTAACTCTCCCTTCTTGAGACCCATTGTCTCGAGATGTGGTAAAATTTTGAGATTTATGAGGTTTTTTTCATTTTTTTGAATACTCACATGGGCTGCTGAGATGCTCTGTTTCTCAGAGGAAAGCTCCTTAAAGCTGCAAAATCTTACCATTAGGGTGGTGTGTAGGATCTGGTAGCGATGAAGGATCACAGCTAAGGTGTGAGCACAGTAAGGTTGTGTGTTTGGACTCAGGAAGTATCTTGTCTCTCTGCTTCATCTTTCATCTGTTACCAACCACCAACTTTTAAGTGAAGAACTATAGTTCTCCCTAACTATTTAACCTCAAAACATTACAGAAAAAACAGGGACTAACTTGCTTTAAATAATGTGCTTGTTCTTGTATACAGATATTGCAGGTCTTCATCAGACAAACCCAATAAATTACCTTTAGCTAGACTTCAAATTCTTTAGTGACAGATTTAAGGTAGAGCTAGGTCTTGCTGCCTTCAATATGCTTGGATCTGGTCCATGCACAGAAATGTAATTTCGCTTGGGCAAGTATCACAGTGCAAGCAGCTACTCTATAAATTGCCAATGCAAGTCACACTGCACACACAGATAAAGCTTTAGATGCAGATCTTATAGAGCATCCAACACCCACAGGAAACAGCTGCACTACCTCTTCAGTTGCTCCCCTAAACAGATTAGAAGGCCCTCTCTAAAGTATTGAAGACATGTGACAGGTTGTGTCTGTCCTCTGCCTTTGCCTGCTAGTTTAATCACATCATGGAAAATTCTGCATACTTCTTTTCAAAACAGCAGATGAAGTATGAAGTTACATACATGGACCTTATCTCTTTAAGTAATCTCTACACAGAATTGATATGCAAAGGTGGTGATATTCACAAAGAATGGGCATTCAGAGTTGTCCTGTAAATAAAATAGAAACTTCTTTAGTATGTAAATACATGGTAATTCTTAAGATGCCTCAGAGATATCTGACTACGGTGGCTGAAAATATGGTTTTTACAGTCTGTTCAAAAAGGTTCAGTTCTGTTAGGTGCTGGTAGACTGCAATCCAAGCATGTGCTGCTGACAGTATGATTTTCCAAGGTGATGTGAGTTTACTTAGCTGCTCTGGATGAACGCTAGCCCCTGCCTGTGAGCCCAAGTAGGACTGCAGCAGTTGTAATGGATTCACAACAGGGTGAGTCATTTGGTAGTCAGGCTTGCATTTTCTATCCTAGCCAGAAAATCTGGCAGTTACTGATTGAGAGAGGAAAAGAGGAAGCTGGGACAGGGTTTGGAGGGAAAAGAAGTTTTCTGTTTGTAAGATCAGTGGCCTTTGGTGTACAAAGATCTTCCAGGATTTCTTCACAAGAAATCAGAAAGAACATTTCCTCTGAAATGTCCCCCCAGATGCAGGAGATTAGCAAAAACCCAACACAGCACTGTGTAGAAGAACACATTAGT